AAATTGTGTATCTTTGTGTCTGTACGTGTCACTGTGTGTATCTGTATGTTGTCATTGTATGCATCCAGTGGCGTACACACGGCCTATGGGGCCACGGTGCAAAAATTGATCCGTGGGCCTCCTTCCGCACCACATGATGGCCAGCACCTGGTCGTAGGGCTGCGACCATTGCGCCCAAGGTATGTACGCCAGGGCATGCAGATACACACACACTTAAAGGACCACTAGAGACACCCAGATCACTTCTGCTCAATGAAGTGGTCTGGGTGCCAGGTCCCTCTAGTTTTAATCCTGCAGCTGAAAACACTGAGGGTTAATCCAGCCTCTAGTGGCTGTCTCACTGACAGCCGCTATAGGCGCTTCCACGATTCTCACTGTGAAAATCACAGTGAGAAGACACTGGACATCCATAGGAATCATTGAGTAATGCTTTCCTATGGGCGGTTTGAATGCGCGTGCGGCTCTTGCCGCGCATGTGCATTCGGAGCTGAAATATGGATCGGGGCCGACTCCAAGGGAGTCCGGCGCTGAAGAAAGGTAAGTGCTGAAGGGGTTTTAAATACACACACACTCTCACGAACAGACGCATACACACTAGCTAACAGACACACACATTTACTGACAGAGACACACTCAGTGACAGACATACATACACACTCACTGACAGACAGACAGACAGACGCACACACTCACTAACATACACCAAACAGACTCACTAACAGACACACACACACACACAAACACACTCAGCAACAGACACACACAGTAACACACTCACTGACACACACACACTCAGTGACACGCAAACTAACACACACACTGACACTAGCAGACACACACTCAGTAACAGACACACACAAACTAACACACACACACAAAAACTAACACATTCACTGACAATCACTAGCAGACACACACACAGTAACACTCACACTGACACACAAAAACTAACACTAACACACACTCACATTTTTTTTAAATTTAATCCCTACCTTTGGGATTGCTGAGGGGATTCCCTGGGGTCCAGTGGGGCTGCCCGGCAGCCGTTACTGCAGGTGGCGAGGGAGCACTGATCCTCTTGTTCAGCTCCCTCGCGCGTCGCGTACTGATGCCAGAGCTGGAATGACGTCATATTCCGGCTCCCGCATTACTGCTGTGCGCGCCAAGGAAGCTGGGCAGAGAGCGCTCAGGGGAGAGTGCTCCCTCGTGCACCCGCCAGCCCGCCCGGTGAAACCATTGCCAGCCTCGTGCTGCCCTGAGGTGGCCAGCTCCTGGGCCCCCCAGGAGAAGAGGCTGGCAAACTGACGTACATCCTGGGTCGCAGGGCAGCTGGGCCCCCTGGTGCGACCGCGGTATGTACGTCAGTGTGTGTATCTGTATGTAGTCAGTGTATTTGTGTGTATGCATGGCTTTCAGTATGTGTATCTGTGTGTTTGAGTATCTGCATGTGTGTCAATGTTTGTATCTCTACCTGTATGTGTCAGTGTGTGTATCTCTGTGTCTATATCTGTGTCAGTCTATGTATCTCTATGTGTGTCAGTCTGCATATATGTGTCTGTATATCTCCATGTGTGTCAGTGTGAATATCTGTTTATCTGCATGTGTTTAAATGTGTGTGTGTGCATCACAGTGTGTGTTGCAAAGTATGTGCATATGTGCATGTGTGCATACATCTCAGCATTTAAATGTCAACACAACACACAAATTCACCCCTGCATTTAAACTTCAACATTACATCCTCCATAGAAATGTCAGCACTACATACAAACACACCTTTGTATTAAACACCAAAATGATATATAAACACCCTAGCATTAAAAAAAAAAACAATAAACATTAATTTGTGTGAGGGGCAAATAAGGCCGTAAAGGAAATAAAAAAGGGGGGGATAAGTCGGTTGTGGTGTGCCGGAACCGACGACGTGGTAGGCCTGTAATAAAAGAGGGCAAAAAGGATACCTGTTTAAAAGCAATCAGCAACCTTAAATAGCCTAGCCGTATGGTAACAGCTGAGCGAATAATTAGGTGCCCGGCGCTTGAACGGCCCTCTAACTTGTGCAAGGGGAAGTAAGGAATATAAAACATGTTGGCCATCTAGTGTAGACTAAGTGTGGGGTAGAGAAGGTAATCAATAGACTGCATGAATAGGTGAGATTTCCTGAGACAATGCTGCAAGATGATGTGGTGACTGTGGGAAATATGTGGGACCACGAGAAACTGTATAGTGGCTTGACAACTAGACTACATAGATACCTTGCTAATAAAGACTAGCGTCCCCCAATTCCAGCCTACCTCACATCTGTGATTAAACGGTTGATCCAAAAGAAGGCAAAAAACCCAGTTTGATGCGCTTTCCAATTTGCAACAAGCTAGGGAAAAAATTCCTTCTTGACCCCAGAATGGCAGTCGGATTTATCCTTGGATCAAGCAGATATCGCCCCACACTGAAAGTTGATGCCGGTCGTATAAGTATTAAATAGGTCTGATAGTGATTGTAAAACTTGGATGTTGATGGGAAATCAGGAGATTGAAAATTCCCAGAACCTGAACCCTTGAGTATGGTAATAAACTGGTATCAGGGTATGAAACTGCGTGTGACTAGAAACCTGTACAACATGTGAAGTTGTAGACTGGATAGGTAGAGTTGATGCAAGTAAGAGGTGGCAAAAGAAGTGAAAGTTAATCGCAGACAACATATCAACAGAGACAGTAAACGTTATATGTGAGACAGGAGCCTCGCAGGGGAAGAAGGTCCGAACACATGCACTGCGAGTGCTAGAAAGACAAGAGACGTGAAAAATGGCAACCACGAGCTCACAAGGCTGGCAGCCCACGAACAAGCCCAGAAACGCCGGGAATGGTAGCGGCTGCGGGAGAGGCCGTAGGTATGGCCAAATTAGAAAGCGTAAAGGAGGAACAGGACCGATCGTACGAAAGAAGTGCCAGAAGACCGGTTCGGATCCAGCCAAAGCGGCAGATGCCAGTTACCCCAAACTGCCATCCGACACCGCCCCATAGCCGACAGCAGCGTTACCCATGTAGGTGGACAGACACTGAGAGAATAGCTGACCGGAAGGCTGCCGTGGGGGTGGGATAAGCCGACTCGCGAGAAACCGCAGCGAAGCGAGAAGCGCCCAGGTCCTGAAAAAGGTAGGCGTAGCCAAAACTCCATAGGGTGATGAGAACCAGACCCAGCCAGAGAGACCGGGTGGAAAAATACCATGCCTAGCTCCTGAGACCTGCTAGAAAAAGAGACGAAGAAACTGCGCATAAGTGACCCAACATGCGTGTAAGCGTGAAAGAGTGTATGTGTGCGTGCTGGCATACTAGCTAATGCCAAAAGGTGAAACAATTAAAAACTAGGTTTGGTGACAGGTGAGGCCCTGCTAGATGCCTAGTGGCGTGAGAGGCTCTATCTATGAGATTGCGTGAGGGGAGAACGTGGCCATTGAATGTTGTGGCAGGGTGTTGGCCTCTCGGTGACTTGTAGCATAAGATAGAATGGGAGTGACAGGTGAGGCCCTCCCTATGCCACGATGCAAGGCGACTAACTATGATTTGGCCCGAGGGGTGTAGTACCTCCGAGTATGAGGATGGGTGTTGGCCTCGCGGGACCACTAACCTAAGGCGAAGAAGCCAGGGGGGAATTACAGCTAGTGGACACCTAGGGCCCTGACAGCCAGCAACAGCTAACTAAGAGGGGAGGGTAAAGAGTGAAAGAGGGGACGTACTGTGTGAAAGAAAAGAAGAGGGGGCGGGGAACAAGGAAGAAACGTAGGGGCTGATATGGAAGCACAAATGGGAAAAATAGGAAAAAAGAAAGCGCATTTGTGTGTAAAGCCCACGGGGCTCATAAGGGCCAGATCATGCCCGGTAACAAAAACCTAACGCTCCTACTGGAAAAAACGTAGCTCAGGTATACCGGGGGTATAGCGGCAGACGTGGCCCAGCCAAGCCGGTAAAACGAAAATCGGAAGAAAAAACCCAGGTAAAACCCTGCGGCGGGACCACAACCTCACGAATACCGGAACTACGTAGCTTAAGACTGTGTATTGACGCAGCAGGAAAGGAAACTTGAACGAGACTCCCCAGTCCATTTTTTTTTTTTTATAAAGAATGGCACGCGCCATCTAACCAAGCTTATTCTCAGGGACACGAAGAAGAGTGAAACGTACATGTGATGGCATGTGGCCGTTTTGTAACCTGGCTCTACCAAACCCAAGTTAGGTGCAGTTATTGATTCGCCCCATGCCAACGGCCAAAGATATAGCAATTGATCCAGGGGAAGTTGCCATTTAGAGGCACCCTAGATCAGTACCTTCAGAGGTTCTAGGAACACCCCGCGCCCCCCAAATTTACCGCACATAGAAGCCTACATGTAAAGTCACCCAGCTAAATGTCCCTGGGAGATGTACTACATGTCTACTAGGTGTAAGGGTAAACTCTACTAGGGAACTGCCTGGGAGCAGTGATGTTTATGATGGGTTAATAAACGTGCAAAACCAGTGTGGCCTCTGAACCCCCCCCCCTTTTAAATCCCTGTTCCCTGGGCCTTGTGAAGACCGAATGAGACTCACACCAGATGCACATAAAAGCAACATACATGCAATATGAAGAAGCAGCACAGATATCTGCATAAATTGCAAGCATGTCTGCTTTTCCCAAGGTAAACTCTGTCTCTCGCATTAAGGTAAACAGTGAGTTGGGAAAAGCATAGTTGAAAGCAGGTAATTAATCACATACACTGTTTTATCTCACACTGCTTTCAGCAACTTCAAGCCCTAAGTGAGAAAAGGGAGTTGAGCAGTTACGTCTGAGATAAAACAGTATATGAAAATTCCAGTACCAACATTTCATCACCTCCATATTTGCAGTGTCCAGAGATACTTGCCTGGCAGGACCAGCCTAAAATCTGTTTAAGGACTCTTCATATATATACCAGCTATGCCTAAGCATCCTTCCTCACCCAGAACTGCACCCGACACACACTTGCGCGGCTGCATGGACGTGCAACCGTCGGTGAGTGCAGATGCGAAACTTGCAACAGCGCCGCCGGCAGCGAGGGGGCTGATAGCCAAGAACGCCCGAAAGAGAGGCTTAGCAAGCCGAGCCGCCAGTGGAGGCGAGCAGAGCCGCTCCCCCCCTGCATCCCCCCAAGAGACCAAAGATAACTCGCCAAAAATGGAGACCCGAGGCCTGGAGCGCCAGAGCAGAGCCCAGGAGGACCGCGGACCAACAAGCAGCAGGGAAACAGCAGGCCAGGACAATGAAGCCACGAGGAACAGGAAAGGAGAGGAATGATGACCCGACATGCAAATCACTAAGAAATGAACAGGACTGAGGAAGGTGAGGAGGGGGTTTAAGTAGGTTAACATGCCCCTCCCACAACTGCAGGCCAAGACTTTACATTTATGCTTGCATTCAAACGCCAACACCACATACAAACACACCCCATACATTCACACAAACATACTCTATACAAAACATGCTTACATTCAAACACACAAATAATGCTCAGTGCTAAATACAACCCTGCAAGCATGGGAAAATGGTAGAGCCCCAGCTGGCAAAGCATTGTTGTAGTTGCATGACATATGGGGATCTACATTTTGGCCACAATTGTGAAAAAAATTATTGCACCGATCTGCCTCTGTGTTGGGGTGGAGGGTGTGATTGCATGCCATGGAGTGGGGAGGGAGGCAGGGTCCAGGAGACCTAAGCAAATGCTTGCCCGGGGTCCAATCAATATTAAAAAAGGCCCTGATTGGCTGAGCTCAGTACATACCTTGGTAATTGTAATCTGAAAGGTGTATTTAGAAAAGATGCGGCGCGGGCCGCGTGGATAAGAGGGTGGGTTAAGCTTCAAAAAGCTTTTTTAAAGCAAAATTAAAGAGTTTTAAACAGAGAGAAATACACCGAATACTATTAGGCTAGAACCTCTAATACACTTAAGTTATAATGATGCTTGGAGTGTGCCTTCAATGTCCTCCGTGTGGGTAATGTTGAATGCACCGCTGCTTCCTGGAAGATGTGCACTGATATAAAATGTCAAGACAATATACGTTGTATTTTAATACCACTCAGAACGTCTTGTATGCACTTATATATCCACATGTTTTGCTAGGTAACAGTGCACGGATAAACTCTGTGCTCTTCTGTTCAACAAAGGAAATGTACACAACAAATCATGATGGCATTTCTCAGAAATATTGCAAGGTGCAGAATATCCATCTACACTTATATGCCATTTTCACGAAAAACAGCAGTTAGTCTGCTTTTTGCATGAAACCAGAGATTTGCGATGTTCACATTGAGCGGTCTCTGCTTTAAATGTATCAGTTGATTTATATTCATGCCATTAACTGCATAAAATAACATAGTTAAAAAGGTAAGCATTAGACTGGATTGGAAATTGTACAATAATAAGTGTAGTCAGTGTCTGAAAATCTTTTAATGATTATAAATATTATATAATGTAAGACAGTACAAGTACTCGAATTTCCAAGAAAGCATAAATATGTGCATTATGAGGCAATTCAAAAGACAGTTTTGATTCTCGGTGAAAAGGCCACAAAGGAAATCTAAATCCAAAAGATTTAACAAGGAGTGCTTGCCTGATGGTTTTCCCAGGGAATCCCTCACAGCAGTTATGGACATGAGCCAACAAGCAGGATGACAGCTGACAGTAGCAAGAGAAATACATCACTTACAGTAGCTTGGCAAATTTGGCCTTAAACAGGGCCATCTATAACGCAGGGCAAACAGGGAAGCTGCCACAGAGCCAGGTACTCCAGAGGGGCCAAAGGCAGCTGCCCCTGTTGGCAAGTTGCAAGTGGACAGGCTCGCTGGGATAGGTGGGCTGCGGCACCTAGCTCCACACTAACGATATTGTTTTGCCGTAATAAGGGGCCCACGGCCCTTTAACATTGTCGTTTTGTTTGTTCCCCCAGCGGCCTGCTGGGAGGAAGTGAGTTCAGTTCACTTAATCCAAACAAACAGGGTGCCGCGTAGGGAGGAGGCGGTGGTACACACTGAGGAGGAGGAGAGGGACTGAGGATGTCTGGTGCTCAGATTCCCATCAGTCTCGGTCAGACAGCTCCCACTGGATGCCAGGGAAGCCACCCTTCCAGTGGTGTATCCTGGTTTTGTGCTGCCCTAGGCATGACAAAACTCAGACGACCCCCAGCCACCCCACTTTCCCCACCTTCTAAATACACACACACACATACACTAGCTAACAGACACGCATACACTCTCACTAACAGACACACACAAACTAACAGACACACACTAACAGACACACGCACTCACTCACTAACAGACACACACACACTAACAGACACACACACTCACAGACACTCACAGACACACACTCACTCATTAGCAGACACACACACACACTCTCTAACAGACAGACACACACACTAACACACTCACCCCCAGCCTCCTTACCTTTGGGAGTGCTGGGGTGGATTAGCACGTTCCCTGCGGTCCAGTGGGTCTGCTGGGTGGCTGGCCGGTGACTGCAGGCAGCGAGGGAGCACTGATCCTCCTGTTCAGCTCCCTCGGGCACCGCAGAGTGATGCTGGGAGCCGGAATATGACGTCATATTCCGGCTCCCGGCATCACTCTGTGGTGCGCTCGGGAGCTGAGCAGAGAGCTTACTAATCAGTGCTCCCTCGCCAGCGCCGCCCGCCTGGATTGTCAGTTAGCCACGAGGCTAACAAGACATTTGCCCGGGCATTTGGGGGCGGCTTTTTTTGCCACCCCCTGGAAAGTGCCGTCCAAGGCAAATGCCTTGTTTGCCTCGCGGCTAATACGTCCCTGCACCCTTCTGCATCCAAAAGGTAAGAAAACTGGATTGTGGCTGACATATGGAAACTAAACCTTTCTTAGAGGTTGTGTATACCTGTGTGTGTATGTGACTGTGTGTTTCTATCTATGTGTACCTGTGTTTCTATATGTATGTGTACCTATGTATCAGTGTGTATGTGTACCTGTGTGTCAGTGTTTATGTGTACATGTGTGTCATTGTGTATGTGTACCTCTGTGTCATTTTGTACCTCTGTGTCATCTGTGTACCTGTGTGTCAGTGTCTATATGTACCTGTGTGTCTGTATGTGTACCTGTGTATCTGTGTGTATGTGTACCTCTATGTCTGTGTACCTGTGTGTCAGTGTGTATGTATACATTTGTGGCTGTGCATGTGTAAATGTGTGTCAGTGTTTTTGCACCTGCGTGCCAGTGTATGTGTACCTGTGTATGTGTATCTGTATGTATGTTTATGTGTACCAGTGTGTCTGTGTTCCTGTATATAGGTGTGTTTCTGAGTGTGCATGCATATCTGTGTCATTGTATGCAAGTGTGCATCTGTCTGTGTGTGTGTGTGTGTGTGTGTGTATGTATGTGCCAGTATGTGTACCTGTGTGTCAAGGTGTGTGCATGTTCACTATGTTTATATGTGTGTATCTGCGTGTTAATGTGTATGTATATCTGTGTAAGTGTGCATACATTGTGGCAAACACAAACATTACATACAAACACACACTTGAATTCAAACTTCAAAATTATATACAAACACACACCTTCACTCAAACACCAGTACTACACACAAATGTACATCCACGTTTAAAGACAACTCTACATCCAAAAAACACACTCGTGCATGCAAATGCTAACATTACATACAAACACACCCCTGTTTTAAAACGCTAAAATTATATACAAACACAAACTCTACACACACAAACAAACCTGCATTTAAAAGCCACATGCAACAACACTACAAAAACACTACATGCAAACACACACACCTTCATTCAAATTCAAACACTACGCACAAGTACACCACTGCATTCCAATGTTAACAGTACATACAAATACACCACTACATGCATACACATACTCTCTACAAAAACGTGGGCCCTCTATACATTAGTTCTGCTACAAGTTTGGGGTGAATGGCATGAATGCATGACAGGGAGTAGGGAAGCATGGTCCAGGGGGCCCAAGCAAATGTTTGCCCAGGGTCCATTTATTATTAAACACCGCTCTGGCCTTAAAACTAAAATTCTGGATTCACTTTGAATTCTCACTTTAATGAATAATCCTGTTGAAAGAACTCTCACCTGATAAAAAAAAAAAAAAAAAAGAACTCTCAATTTCATTTATATGCCGCTGTTTCTTGTTCATTAACCCCTTAAGGACGGATGAGGGACCCAGTCCGTCATGCTGGGGAAGCACTTAACGATGGATGATGGATCTGGGTTAAATTTTATTTTTTTTAGTAACCCTAAGGGGTTAAATTTTAATATTTTATTTTATCAATTTGTGATTGAGTTAGTTGGGGTGAGTGGAATTTAGTGATAAGCTAGTTAGGGGTGAAAAGTAAAAAAAAGTTACAAAAATAAAAGTTTAGTTATTTAGTTATAGTTAAAGTTTATTACCGTAGCACACAATGTTTATGAAGTATAGCGCAGAGGAGGCTTATGCCCTGTTAGCGGCTGACTCAGAGGCGACAGATACTGCCTTAGAGAGTGAAGCAGGGAGTGATGCAGGGCACAGGGACTATGTGCCAGGTACTGCAGGACCATCAGGAGAAAACGCTGATTCCCCTGATGCTGAACATGGCGCAGGTGACTGGGTACCCCCTAATAATGTTAGTGGGAAGTTGGAGGGTTAAGTTAAGTGTTATAAAAAATTAATTGCCCTGTTGTGGTCTTTTGATAGCCCAATAGCGCGTTTACTCTGTCTGATTGTTTGGTTACCGAATCTTGGCTTTGTCTCCAGTTTATCCTGTCTTCTCTGATCCTTGACCTCAGCTTGTCCTATCGTTGTTCCGTTTCTCTTTACTCCTTTGACCTCGCCTTGTACCTTGACTATTCTCTGCTTGTATAGCCCGGCCATTCTAAGGACCGCTATTACACATTTCTCTCTCTGTGTTCTCTCTCTTTGTGGTCTGTCTGTGTGTTTTGGTTCCAGAATCCGTGACAGCGTTGCCCGTGACGCGGATGACTGGGTACTACCCCCTGATAAGTTTATGCCAAATATTCCCCCATTCACAGCAAATAGTATGTATGCACTTGTTCATAATTTGAATTTATGAGCTGCTTATAGTTAAAAATAGATGTGGCCTTTGAGAGGTAATTTGCAATCATGAGCTGCTGAAATGAGACTTGGGCCCAGCATCTGCTTTTAAAAAATATGAAATTGGTGTGTCTCAAATGTGTCCCTTCAACATCCACATATACCTGAAAAGGGTACACATGGGGGTATTGATGTACTAAGACGACATACCTGAG